TCTTGTCTTTGGTATTTCCTATCTTAAATGTTTAAGCTTTAAAATGGTTATGTGGCTTGACATTTCAATTTTGATGAAACAACATAAAAGAAGCCATACTGCTGAGCATCATCGCTTTTTAGTGCAGCCCCACAATACCATCATTCACTTTGAACTATGCAACAGGTTGCTACTAAGAATCATATGCTTATGTACAAACTTAGCCCTTCCTGACTTTTGACCTGCTCCTACTCCCATTAAAATTGGTGGGTGAAATTCCTATTACATTTAATATGATTTTTTTGCTCTTATTGCATATTTTCTGGGATGCCCATTTCCACATAACTGATCATCCCCAATCTTAGGACTTAGGGCAGCATCCATTGATCAGTACTGTAACTAGGGCTAGGTGAAGGGGGTATGAGCCCTGGACACTGACTATGAGAGGGAAGGGCACCAGAATAGACACAGAGGAACTCCAGAATGGGACACAGATACACTACTACTCTAGCAGCTATAGGCTCTGACTGCCAAATTAGAAGTTTTATATCTTCTCTCAGCATGACATTCAATGGAGCTTGAGAGGGGCTTAACCCCTTGGCTGGAGGCGGACTTTCCCTAACAGTTGCCAGGATCCTACATTCCCTCTAGTGCCAACCCCTCTCTTCTTCACCCTTTCCACACAGTCAGAGCCTAGAGCCCTCTTGCCTCCCTCTCCTGTGTCCCAGACAGCTGGAGACTGTAGCTGTCCATGGCGCTAACTCTACCAGGTGCAGCTATGCCTTTAATTTTGCCCTTCTATCCCAATGAAGGGCAAAGCTATAATTATTTGACCATTTGTAAATTCAAAGCCACAAATATGTTTTTAAAAAAAGGAAGTATGTGATATGGTTACAGTCTGTCTGGCCATTAGGTGGTTTGGGGGTTTAACAGTTTTGTTTTGTTTTTTGAGGCGGGGGGGAGGGGAGGTTGTATTTTCTTTTCTTTTCTTGGCTGACATCTAGGTTCCTCTGAAGTATTTAAATAAATACAATATATTTGAAACATTTAATACTAAAATATTAAGTTTTAAATTCAATCTGTTAATTAAAACTTTTTTTACTGTTCCAAAATTTAAAAGGGAAGTAACAAGAATACCCATCCACTTGTTATGTCAGCTTGGAAGCAATCAGGAATAAAACTGCCTACAGAAGGAAATGGGTAGAATCCTTTTGGACTGGTGAGGTATGGGAAACAGGACTCCAGAAGAGGTTGCAACCCGCTGTCATCATAAGATAAAAAGAGGGAAATGGGTGAAGTTGTAAGACATCAGAAGATTTGGCCTTCTGGACTCTACAGACCTCTAGAAAGTGGTAAAAGTTTTCAGTATGCTGAAGTTTTCAGTACAGCTGGATAGCACATATATTTTTCCTTCTCATTCTAAATGTTGTAAATAAGAAAGCTGCTGATCAATATTAAACGAGGTGAGTGATTAATGTTTAGTGATTAAAAGTCAGTTTGTGAATTAGACTCAATGGCTGCATCCAGAACAGTGCGACAGTGCGGTATGTGGTGGCGCATACACATTTGTGGCGCCACATACCACACATTCAGCTGCTCTCCATGCTCTTTGGCTAGGGTCCAAGTGGCAGGATAGCCACTGCTGCAGCCCCAGGAGGCCCTCAGGATGCCAGGTAAGGCTGCTGGGACCACCCCCCCACCCCACCCAAGGTAACCTGCCACACACCAACGGGCACGTGGCACAGGCATTCCCCAGGGACAAGTAGCAGTGTGCCACTGCTGGTTGTCCTCGTGGAAACAAACATCCACGTTCATGTGGACACAGCCACGCTGCCCAGAGATGAAGTAACAGGAAACCAGCAACTGAGTGTAGTAGCGAAAACAAAAAAAAAAATTGATCATTCTAAAAGTAAAAGGTAGACATTATCAAGAGTTACTGTGTCAAAAGACAGAAAGGATTTGTGCTCATTTAAAAAAGGACAAAATCAATTTCTTCAAAATCTTCAGGGCAAAATGTGCCATTGAATGAAACTCTGTCTGTTGAAACAGAAGAGCAGAATGCTGATGAGTTTGATGATACTGCAGTTGAGAATTTTTTTTATGCTATTGTTGTAATCAAAAAATAGCTGCAACCATCATTGAAATCCTTTTAACAGGCCTTCCAACATCAGCTTCATTCTTGAGCAATCTCAGTTCACCTCAGCACTTAGAAAACAGCAAGGTCAAATCAATGATGACACCGTAAAAGCAACTATAATGGCAGGACTCAAGCCTAATAAGAAATTCTGAAGCTTCTTTTATGCTAACAATCTTACTTTGAACAGAGTGGGGAAAAAAGAGCAATTTAAAAAAAGATATTCAAGTACCTCACTCTCAACGTTTAAATTTGAAGGGTTCATTGTTCAATATTGTAAGTGAAGAAAGAGAGGAAAGTTAAGAAAACTAAAAAACACCTAACTGATGCTGACATGAGATTGTTCACTGAACAGAAGAAATGACTAAATAACAGCTATAGTATCCATACAGTGAAAAATGTGTTCCTACTTAATGCTCTTGATTCTACATTTGAAAAGAAAACTACAGCTTATTGGGTACAAATTGCTTAAGGTGCCCTTCAAAAATGGAGAAGAGGGTGACAGAGGTCTTCACCATTTGTTTGGATAATGAAAATAAAAGGGAAAAATAGACAGGAAATTATCTTTATTTGTCATCCTAAATTTGTACCATATGACTGTTCAAAACTCTACTGAGAAAGGCTTCACCTAATACAGCCTTAAAACACATTGTCTAAGTGCAGTAGCCTTCTGCAACTACCATCAACCTTTGACTGAAAAAGAAAGGATGTTCTTGCTTTCTGTGTTGCTGTCTGACTTCAGACTAATACAGCTCACCTCTCCATGCTTTCCAGTGACATTCAGGAGAACTCCCAGGAAGGTGGTGTTTCTATATTTGCATCCAAATATGGCAACATGTTCAAAATACTGCACTGAGCGCAAGGAAAACCTTGATCAACATACAGGGCATGTTTCAACACAAGGGACTTTACAGAGAGGTGTCAGAGAGACTTGACAGCTTACAGGATGAGAACATTACTGTTTCAGTCTCAGTGGCTTGATATAATTAGCTAAAAAGAGCTGAAACCAAACAAAAACAACACAGGAGAGAAAAAAAAATTAAAAATAGAAAAGCTATGGAACCTTTCAAATACTTAAATAATGTGACTGATCCCAAAGTCAAGTTGCACTCAGAAAAACAGCTTGATGGAGATCATTTTGAATGCATTTTTCTTCTTCTAATGTTAACAATTGAAGAACCAGGTTTGTACCAGACTTCTCTGTGTGTGGAGGAGAATGGGTTGTAAGTTGTTATATAGTAGTGACTTGTAGGTGTAAAAATGTACAGAAGACTTATTCCCTTGCTGAGCTTTGTCTTTATTAATCAATTTATAAGAAATGAACAACATTTCTGGATAAGTCATCTTATCAAACTGGGCTGCTCTTACATTATTACCTCAGCACTGTCCATCATACATGTAAGATCCTTTTTCTCCAGAGAGCCACTTATATATCCTTTTTCCCTGAATAACATAATGGGTGCACTGACGGCCTCAGGAAAGCATGCCTCCCCCAAACTCCCCCCCCCCCCCCCCCCCCCC